CGGTGAATCGAGAAGTTTTCTACTGTTTCTAGTATTATTATGAATTGCAATTATCCGTTATGTTGAGGTACTATAATACGTACACGACGTATTTTCATTTATCTCAATTTGTTTTGTAGGCAATATTTTTAAATTTATTATTGGGACATATTTTTTTAATAAAAAAAATAGGTAAAATCAATTAAATTACATGGCTAATCTGTTTATACTCGATCTTTAATTAATAATATTACTGATTTCTACGTATTATCAATGAAAGAGAAAAATCAGGGCAGTTAGTAATATCGACATTACTGAATATATACAATGGCAAAGTATAAAGCACCCTTTAATTTATTGCATTTTCTTGAAATAGGCAATAATAAAAACCAAAGAAGAACATTAAAATTGTTATAAGAATAAATACTATTTTTCAATAAAATTATTTCTTAATTTATTTTACGTCAATTTACGGGGATGCTTTAAGTTTGTCGCTTTGCATGCTCCAACATGCTCCAGCATGTTGGAGCATGTTGGAGCATGCGACGTGAACGAACCTTTTATATTTGTGGTCAAGGCTGTATAATGATAATGACTTGACAATATAGCGACTTACGTTTGAGAGATCGAGGTTTTGCCTGCTTCCTCCTGGACATATCACCGCACTGGCACGCACTTACAAACGTGGACGGGAAGTACAGGAACACGAGGGATCAATAGCCGCTCCTCTCTGGCATGTCCACTCGCACTCGTCGAAAACTCGAATTTTGACAAGTTTACCTGTACGCGACGTTCTCTTGTCGTCGACGATTTTATTCACGAGGAATGGCGTGATCGCGAACACGAAATTCAATTGGGGGACACGCGTGAAGTCAACTTCGAAGATTAGCGCGCGCCAGCGAGAATCGAAGCGAGTGGTACCACGTGGTCTTGCGGTGCACGAAAGGCGTATAACGGACACGCTTCACATGCGAACCCGGCGACAGCCGCGCTCGGAGGACGCGCGACGAATGACGTGAATGCGTTGTGCCTGCGGAGAACCACTGGCGCCGAGCATTGCGCAAGCGTGCAATCAGCGCAACTGTCCTGCGCGCGATACTCACCACGCTTTTTTAATTTCAGATTTTTGACAATAGAAAAAGTAATATATACGACCAGAGAATACGCTTCTGTGATTTTTCTGCGCAACCTTCTTATAGATAATCGTTCGTAGACGCATGTACTAGGTTTATTTTTTATTACTGCACTAGAATTTTCCTTCTCGCTTTCGCCAAATTCAAACATATAATTTCACTTTAAGTACAAAAGTGTAGACTAATGTAATTGTAAAAATCAGTCTTATTAATTGAATCGATGTCACTAATACATTTAAGGAAATTATAAATATTAATAATATTGTTACGCTCGTGCAATCGAATCGCAAGTCCTCATTCGCGAACGCGTATGTACTCTTTCGAACTGCAGAAATGAAAAAGACGTTTAAAGAACCGAGTAAAACTGTTTATTTGTTAACACACAACAGCGAAAGAATGTGAACAGCGTAAAGATACGGAAGCGGAGCACTGTCGAACGTAGCGACGACTTGGGTCATTATCAATGTAATAAAAATAAATATAAAATTTGAACAAGTGACATTCTTTAATGGTTATAAGCAAGATATATGAAAATAAAAATATTGAAAAGATTAAAATAATTTACTATTTCTATTATGTCTATTAGTCGATAATCCATTGTATTAAAATAGTTTCCTGTCTCTTAGTCGATAATCCTGATCACCAAAGGTGGTGCAACCTTGAGTTATTTGAAATATTAGTCATTTGCGGAAGTTTCTGTTACAAGTCTTGTCTGGGGGAAATCGAGCATAATATAAGTTCTTAATGTAAGTAAAATTTGAGCTTTACCAAGTCCAAATCATCATTTCAATTCGTAACGTCTCTTAATTAAGTTAAATAAATTGTGTCTTGGAACTCTATCGCATTTTTGCCTGCTTCTGCATTTTTTATTAACTGACAATATAATATCGACAACGATTATTTGAATTGGTACTACTAGGACTTGGCAAAGCTCAAATTTGACTTACATTAAGAACTTATATTATGCTCGATTTCCATTAGACAAGATTTGTAACAGAAACTTCCGCAAATGACTAATATTTCGAATAACTCAAGATTGCATAACTCAAGACCTTTGGCGATCAGAATTATCGACTAAGAGATAGGAAACTATTTTAATATAATGGATTATCGATTAATAGACAGTAAATTATTTTAATCTTTTCAATATCTTTATTTTTATATATCTTACTTATAACCGCTAAAGAATGTCACTTGTTCAAATTTTATATTTATTTTTATTACATTGATAATAACCCAATCGGTGTCGAAACATATGTTTGTATTGTTCTTCGAACATTAAAAGGTTATTATTTGGCTCGTAGCCATCTTCTTTTTTATTATTATTAAATACTTTTATATGCAGAATAATTAAAGGAATCATATTATGTAAAAAAATTATACAATTCCATTTAAAAAAGTAGAGGTGATTTTCATATCTTTTTGACTTCTCCATCTAGAAAAAAACATGACCAAAATACGTTCTCTTTGAAACCGTTCCACTTTTATTTGAAACATTTTTTTATATTATCAAAAATAAGTGAGATATATCAGATGGTCGATTTAAGGGATCACCCTGTATAATATCGATGAGCGTATGACATGGTCAATTTGAATAAGATATACATATAATAACGTAACCTATAAAAATATTGGATGTCAATTAATCTGGCATTCCAATATTTTGCATTACATTATAGTGTTGTATAGTCAGGGCCTAAAAGGTTGTAACACTTTTTTTTCGATGGGTTTCGGAATGCAGCCTACTCACCGAGCGATTGATTCTTATTCATGGATCGACAAATGAGAACCAATCGCTCGGTGAATAGCATTCCGAAACCCATTTAAAAAAAAGTATTGCAACCTTTTAGGCCCTAACCTATACAATTATACATTATGCGAAATTGTCCGGAAACGCGTTCACAAGAGGAAGCAGATATTGGTATCAGTAATTTTTAATTTGATTTTCTAGATAAATGTCTGAAGCAATTAAATCTTAAGGATAATATCTGTAAGACGTCATAAAGATAATATTTGTAAGATGTTATAAATCGAGACAAGCAGGGCCGTGCAAAGGATTTTTGAGGCCCTACTGCAAAGGTAAATATTCTACCTTTTCATACAGTTCGTATTAAAAAAGCTTTGAAGGGTTTAAAAAATATACATAACATTAATGGACCAACTGGAGTGTAGCGTTCGGAGAGTAGTATTTAGAGCGTTTAGAAGCATCAAATGGACCGCAGCTTTGTTGGCAAAAGGAGCTATCTCATTTTTGCTTCTGTAGCTGCCGTACAGTTTCCTGCTCTAGTCTGTGATATTTCAATGAAATATCGAGCTCCTTCTTAGGATCGATCCATTTTGCTTCAACAAAAGATTTTCTTTGTTGTTCCTCTGAAAGCAAGACTTCCTTTTTTATGCTTCCCCGGAAGATGGCCAGTCTCCCAAAAAAATTCAGGATGTGTTAAACAGACGCCATTGATTTCGTGTACAGTTCGCGCAATTAATGCCTTTCCAATCTATGACATTACGTCCATTGGTGAGACATCGCGTTTATCTTCTCGGTTGTTTCCACGTTCATGGCTGTAGTCGGACAAACCAGATTAGCCAATAGAGATTAGAGAAACTCGCGTATTGTCGATAATTCCGTCTGACTACGACAATGGACGTGAAAATAACCGAGAAGATAACGCGCAATGTCAAAACAGGGGTGGAAGGCATTAATCGCGCGAATTGTACGAGCCGTCGATCTGTTACATTCAGACGTGTTTCTATATCTTTACGATCGCATTCTTTCAATGTTATGTGTTGACGAATAAAGAGTCTTAATACATAAGAGGAAGAATACGAAGCAGCAGTTGGAATTACCTGATGAATTGGTATATGAATGATATCATACATGACTTCACTTCCATGGACTGAACGCAACAAGCATCAAGCAGCGGAGCAACAACCAACCAGCAAGGCGATATCGTTGACACCACTATAAATATTAGCTGCGTTCAGCAGACTCAACAGTTTTGCAACCGTTTTATGATTGTCTGCTGAGATAGGACCATTCTTCTAGATCTAAAAGTATGATCCAATTAGCGCGAAGGAAACTTACAACAGTTGCAAAACAAACGTTCTGCTGAACGCACCCATTATTTCACTAATTGGTTGCTGCTTCGCTGCTTGACGCTTGAATGCACCTTAATTCCTGAACGCAACCCTGTACCAGTTCAAACAATGCGGGAATAAAGAACAGACCTCATTTAGGCTGTGTTCCAAATTTACTGCCAGAAAATTAGTACAGAAAATGCTACAGTTTACGTTACGTGCACTATAGATTTTCAGTACTGGCAGTCAATTTTGGAACACAGCCATAGTCTGTTCGACTTGCTTACACTTTTTACACTCAGCATCTTCGCTTTCTCTCTTTTCAGCGCCAAATATATATCTATCTCATTTTAAGTGTAAAAAGTGTAAAAAAGTGTAAGCAAGTCGAACAGAGAATGGGTGCATTCAGTACTAGGTCTGTTCGCGTTGCATGAAATCCCCAAATATTTTTGCACTTAAAATGAGATAAATATATATTTGGCCTTGAAAAGAGAGAAAGCGAAGATGCCGAGTGCCAAAAGTGCAAGCAACGCGAACAGACCTATTATAACCCCTCATTAAGCGCTCAGTGAGCTCTTGCATCTGATTGGCATATTTCGTTAGAACTGAAAATATAGACCAATCAGATGCAAGAACTCACTGAGCGCTCAGTGAGCGGTTGTAGTACTGAATGCACCCAATATTTGCTATGTTTTAACCTATTTTACTGAAAAACGTCAAACAGTGACAACGGAGTTATTGGAGTCGACATAGCTTGTCAGGGAGATTGTTTCAAGAAATTCTTCAATTATTTTTTTCTCAAGCTTTGAAGAGTTCAATCGTATCGTATTTTAACCTATCTTATTGAAAAACATCAACATCACAGGAGTCTATTGGAGTATTTATATCTTTTCAGACAAATTGTTTTAAAAAAAACTCCAGTTATTTAATTTTTTTTCCAGCTCTAAAAAGAAGTCAAGGTATAATGAAATATTTATTGTAATATTTGTTATAGTGTACAAATTGATACGTACGTCATTTCAAAATTAGTGACACAATTAAAAAAATTAGATTTTTTAGAAAAGAGAAAAAATTGTTTTTAAAACTTAACAGAAAATTATTAATTTAAATTATTAAACTAATCAAATAATATCGAAGTAAAGTATATACTCATAAACATGATTAAATGTTATTTTTATCATTCACATTTTATGATCATTTTATGACTCTTAAAAAATCTGTATCTTTTTTGACATAATTTTAATATCTTACAAAAGTATGACAAATTCAGAAATAAATCATCAAAAGTGACAACTCAAAAAATATCATCAAGAGTTTATATTTACTCTAATCAGCTAAAAGGACTAAATTTAAAATAAGACAGATTTTTTTCAAACTTTGATCACCAAAACAGTCTTAACTCTAAATTCTCTGTAGAAGATTCTCTTTTTTATTTATAAAAACGATACAACTATAAATGTGTAGATCTTTTTAAAGAGATCATAACATCTTGTATATATCAGTGGATATATGTATTTGTCAACATACATGGCAAACGTGACGTTTTAATGCCAAACTTCTTCCTTCCAAAGACCATGTAGAATAGAAAAGATTGAAAGAGGCCAGCAGTGGATGAAGTCAGACTGATATATGTATAATATCTTATAGAAAATGTTATGATCTCTTTAAAAACTTCAAGTACGATACAAGTGCCATTTAACAAATGGATTGTGAAGTTAAGTTTATTTTTAGTTTATTTTTGATGATTGATAATCTTTATACCTAACTTATTTATGATAATGACTAAAAAATTACAATTTTATATTCATGTTTCTTTTCAAGTAAGGGAATCATACAAATTGTAGTAGTAGCAAAAACAAATTTTTTTTAATGACAATTATTACCCAATATACATAATTATTTATAATCAATGTTACTAAATCTTTATGTTTCTAATTGATTTTATGTTTAAATAAATTATAGCACAATGGGAGAACGGAAGGGAACAAATTTATACTATCCACCGGATTATGATCCTCGTGCCGGTGGTCTCAATAAATTCTTAGGTACTCATGCGTTGCGCGAGCGAGCCCGCAAGCTACACATGGGCATTTTAATTATACGATTTGAGATGCCCTACAATATATGGTGCAACGGATGTGGGAATCATATCGGCATGGGTGTTAGATATAATGCTGAGAAGAAGAAGATTGGAATGTATTATAGTACCCCGCTCTATCAATTTCGCATGAAATGTCATCTCTGTGACAATCATTTTGAAATAAAAACTGATCCTGCTGTAAGTTACAATTACAATTGATAATGCAAATAAATTATTGCTTCTGAAATATTTGCTAATATTTTTATTGTCTTTTTAGAATCTGGATTACATCATAGTGAGTGGTGCGAGACGTCAAGAAAATCGATGGGATCCTAAACAGAATGAGCAAGTAGTACCTGAAACGAAAGAAGTCTCATGCAGATTGTATGACGACGCAATGTACAAGTTAGAGCATGGTATAGAAGATAAGAAAGTAGCCAAATCTCGAAATTCAGCACTGGAAGGTGCAATAGCCTTAAATGAGAATATTTGGAAAGATGATTACAGTTCAAACTGCGCAGTGAGAGCCTTATTTCGGGTACAGTTATCAAATTTATTTTTATACTATTATATTTATAATTTTTTCATAAAGTATATTTAATTTAAAAAACAAAGTAACTGGTATGTAAAAAGAGTAATCGAGAGTTCGGGCGGTAAACAATGCGCAAACATTTTAAAAGATAATATATAAGTAATATTAAGATAGTTTATAAATTAAATATTATTTAATTTTGTTAACAAGTTCCGTACCACTTCAATTTAATCATCGCATGGATCATCGATGACAATATTTTTGTTTGCATGTGTTATAAAAATGTTAAATATAACAATATACATGTATTTCATAATTATTAAAAAATTACAAGAATTATTATAAAGAAGAACGTTTACTGTATCAGTATTGCATCATATGTCATCATTATGTATCTATGTATATTAAAAATTATTTTATATAATTACGTTCTTTTTATAGACAAATATCAAATGGCTTATCGGAAAATTACTGGCATGCAGCATGAAACGTGTCAATATGAATTTTTACTGACTGACTATACATTTCATATTACAGGATAGAAAAAAGGAGCTTCAGAAGAAACAAGCTGAAGATCACGCATTACTAAAAAAGACTGGATTAGATATTAATTTGGTAAATGAACATGAGGATGACATCAAACTAGCAAAATTACTCACTCATAAGAAAGGTATTTATTCAGCGCTTAAGCAAATTAAAATGTACATTTTCCTGTTGCATATTTATGCTTTCACAAATGCTTTCTTTTTAGATGCAAGGAAAAAAGGCGGTATGGAATTGAAACGATTAGTTTCGATTATACGATCTAAAAATAAAAAAAAGATGTCTTCTTCGAATGATCGATTGAAACTACAAAGCCAGGAATCACCAAAGACACAGGAAATAATGAATAATGCTATCTCCAAAACTAATAGCTCGAATATATCTCTGGTCAATTACGACAGTTCCAGTACCGATAGTGATACTTAGTATTTTATATATACCTATCTCAAAGTATATGTATGATATGTAATATATATTTGTAAATATAACAGATTATGAAAATAAATCTGTTTCACTAGATGCATTAATGTTAGGAATAAAATGCAACACTACATAACAAATTACAAAAAATATTTTGATAAAAAATATATTTTAAGAATAATCATAGTTATAATTTTCAAGTTACATATTGGAAGAATATTTTGTTCAAAAGATCGAAAGAAACTATCATAAAACTAACTAAGGTATGTAATGGCTGTGTTCAATAGAAAAAGCAGCTTTGCAACTGTTGTACGATTCTTCAATATGATTGATTCTTACCCCTATAGTTCCTCACTGGATCTAAATATATAAATCAATCTGAACTCCTTCCACTGGTTCTAAATGTGTAATTTTTAGTTCCTCTCTAGATATATAAACTAATTATTAAAAAATTTTACAGAGCTGCTTTTTCTGCAGCCAATGTTTCTTAAAACTACATTGCACTGATTTCTCTCTCTCATTCTTAAAATACATATATTTTTAAAGATACATAACAGTGAATAGAGATCCCTTGTAATGATCAAAGAAATTGAATTTGTATCAGATATCAAAGCTTACAAAGAGTAGATTTATTGTTTTTTATAGGCATTAGGTTTATTATTATATCTAAACATCGATGATAGACTGCTGTTCGACGATCGCTGTAGTCTGGGATGGTAGTTTTCTTTTCACTACGTAAATCTTCTTATTGGAGAGACACACGACATAACAATGATCCTTATATTTGATCGATATTTTTTCAAAAGGATCATGCAACGGAAATGCCATAGGATCAACTTTATTCGTCAGTGTTACCAAACTACTGATAATATTTGCCACTCTTTCATCATTTTCTAAATCTCCTCCAGACTGTAACACAAACACAGAAGATTCTACTTGCTGTTGCAACAAAAAAAAGAGCATCATTAGAAACCGCTTCTTACTGTTAATACAGCACCATCCTCAGTTAATACCAAGTATCCAATTTGATCAGGTATACGCTCCAACGCCAGCATTTTCTACAACAAAAAGCTTGTTTTGAGACCTGTTCTTTGTCATTATATCAGAGTGTATTAAAATTTTCTATCTTACTTTTGCCAAATTTCAAATATATTATCTATTCTATTTTAAATACAAGTGTACATGGATTGTGTACCAATTCAGCCACTAAAGAATAGACCTTTAGTAATGACATAAAATTTAGAGAGAAGTAAACAAGAAAATTGATAATGTTAAATAAAAATTATTAAGACATAATTATGTCTCTCTTTCTTTCCATTTCTTTGCTTACTTTGATATATGTATTTTAACTAATTATATCTGTCGAGCTTATCCTAACCTACCCAATAGAACAGACAATGAAAACGAAAGAACTAATCAGCTTACGTGTAATAACAGCGTCAATCATGGGGTGCGTTTCGAGTCATGCATGAAGTGCGTAGCTGCACAGAAAGGCGTTCCGAATTAGCTATTGCGCGCTTCGAAAGCACTTCGAAAGTACTACGAATTCCCCAGATTGTACTAACCGTACGGAATTCTTAAGCCTGATTTATAATGGCCGTAATGCTGGATTTACACTGCATCCAATTTTTGTCGTACGATACGCTCTGCATCCAATCAGAAAACAGGATTCCGATGAATTTTGCTTCGTATTATCGGAATCCTGTTTTCTGATTGGATGCAGAGCGAGAACTATGCAAAGAAAATGACATGTTGAGAACAATTGTTTCCCTTCTTCAAAAAGTATTGCAAAATAGAAAACAATGACAATTGTAATTGTGACATATTTATATTTAAAAACCTCTTATTGTTAAAACCTGTTTCAATTACCTTCATTTTTGTGTAAAGTAAATAATTGAAAAAGTAACTTATGTGTCATTTTCTCAACATGTCATTTTCTCTGCATAGTCCTTCAATGAATTCCTCTCGTTAACAATTGCTAAACAAAAAAATTAAAAAAATTTTTTTTTCACAACATTGAAGTACTCTTGAAACCGTACAACTTTTGCTTAAAAAATTTTTTTCTATCTTTTATACTTCCGACGATATTCGCCTCGAAAGAAAAATACCGTTTTTTTTTTTCAAAGGGGTGTTTCATCAACATCAGTTAGTATAAAAAAATACTTTAATCTTGGAAAAAAAAAGGATTTTCGAATCTGTGAAAGAGAAAAAAGTATTTGTTATACAAAAATTACGATTTAATCGGTAATACAGACGGCTTAAATTTAGGATCCCCTTAATCTTTTTGTTCGCGCTCGCGATGACGGTCGATATCGCGGTTGTAATTAGATACCAGCGTTCGCGGCGCGCGTAACGTATCGTTATGTTTGCTTATCAGAAAAGACTCTTGCGGTCGGCGATTAGGCAGCCGAATATAAAGGAGTGGTGTCTGTCTATTTCCGATGTGATCATATATGGTCACGGGAATCGTTCGGCGCGTGTACGATCTTAATCCGCACGTGCTGTTGAATTTGCAGCTTTGAATTTCCGCGGGCCATTGCCACGCTAAAATACAAAAGTTGCTTCTCGGTAGTAATTTTGCATTTCCGTGAGCTCATTACTATGCCGAAATACAAAACTAAATCGTGATAGCACTTGGGCTACAACAGTATAAATAATTAAAATTGAGGTTTTTTAACACAACATCTTTGCCTACAAAATTTAAATAAAAACGCTGAATATAAAATTTTCTGTTTCTTTATTTAATGAAATTAACACGTATGGTACATAAGCTACTACGACCATTTTTTCATGGCTGTAAGTCTGTTATCACATCCCTGGTGAAAATTTTTCTTGCAATTCTCATAAAATTTTCCAGAATTCCTGTATAATAATTTTATCACAACTCATTGACTTGAGTAAAGTATAACACGATTTTGTCGCTATACGTATCTTAGCGCTGTAACATTATCGTGTCTTCTAATAATCCTTCAGGAAATTTTTTAAAGTTTTTATACGAATTGAAACACTTTTTAGAATGCTGGAAGTTTCTATTTCTTCTAGATTTTATATACATACATACATACATACATACATACATACTATATACATAAATTCTGAAATATATTTTAAGATTTCTCATTCTATATAATTTTCGAAGAAAACTCTAAAATCTGAAGAATTTTAAGATATCTTATACTTTTTTAAAAATATTCTCATAAATTTAAAATATGAAAAATTCTTAAAAATATGAAAAATTATAAAAATCTTTTCACCAAGGATAAGCTCCGTTATTTTTTCGTGTTTTTTTAAGACTTACTTATTTGGGTTCTCCACGATTGGCGAACATATTAAATGGAACTCATAGAAAGTCTTTATCACAAATTAAATAATTACATAATTGCCACGATTGCTACATAATTAATGTTGAAGATATTTTCTTAATATTCTAGTTTTCAGGTTTTCTGGTTTGCCCACAGAATCCGCGTAATTGTTTCTATTGACAAACCAAGATACATATATACGAAGCGTCTCGAAAAAGATAAAACTTCAAATGTCCGCTTCATTCATCAATAGAAGTCTTTCGAGGCACACAGTATATCTATACTACACATTTCGATGTCGTGAACTCTGCGTTTCAATTGCTACACGAATTCTTCATCGGATGTAGGCGGTCTTTTGTGCTGGCTCGGAAATGTATCCTGTAGAACCACTTTCGCCGTTTCCTTTGCCTCCCGCTTAAGCATCGGTAAGATGAAAGTTCTTATCGTCCATAAGGATATAACCATTTGTACCTGTATCTGGCCGGACGTGGATAATACGCGAACGCGTAGACCACTGCAACAAAGAGCACGATTGCATGCAAAAAAATTGACATTTTTTTATTATTAACACGTAACAGATATTAGTTTATCACGAGAATCACGAGAAATATATACTAATTCTTTTCAACTTTCTAAAAACTAATTTATTTTATGAAGATAGAGAAGTTATAGGCCGGTATTCATAGTAGGTTCTTATATTTAAGACCATCGATCTTAAGTACAGCCTTAAGGTATCTTGAATCACAGGGCTGTATTAGCATATTAAGACATTACTTAAGATAGTCTTGAAATAAAAACGGACTATACCATCCAATAATGCCTTTTTGAAACTGTACTTAACAATATGTATATCCATGGCCACTACTTTAGTGGTTGTACTACATTTTGATTGTTTATGGTCTGTCTTTCCACAGGAATTTTTTGAATGTAGCAATTGAATTTTAGAACAATAATTTAGCGTCAAATGTTCATAGAAAATATATACCGAGTAAAAACTTTTCAAGGCCAGATTATTAAAAAAACTTTTTTCTAGATTTTTAACTTAAAGTTTCTAATTTTTTTTTAATAATCTTAATCTCATCTACTCAAGATTTTCTCTACTCAAGAACCTCTCAATTAACATGCTTGAAAAATTAATCGTACAATAAATAAAATATTAACCTAATATGAGTCTCTACAAGTTTTACTCCAAAGCAAAATTGCTAGAAAAGTATATATTTAATTTTAGTACACACATTTGGGATGGAAAGATACGACGTCACAATGCTATATGTCGATTTATGTACTTTCCATTTTACTATTTGAGGGATAGAAATTTCTCTGAAAAATATTTGTCTCACTTTGTCATATTGTTGTAAGAAATTTTTGGAAAAGGATTATTCACATGTTTGCCTACTTGTCGACGTCGTTACTTGGTTCGACTTTACAGCCGATGGAATCTCTGCAACGACGCATAACGCGCAAGTCGTTCGGCGAACGCTCGCCTTTGGACACTCCTTTTATGGAAATTATTCAGCATGTCGAAAGCCGAGGTCGGTACCAACGATCCTTGACTCCGCCAATAGTAAGCTGATGGCATCGGGTTTAAAAGTGGCACCCTCAATGGGCCGCCCAAGCTGCCATGAAGGTGATTCACGAACTGAGGCTGTCCGTGAAAGTCCACGTGCGGCTGCAACTTGGGTAAATCAAGGGAGTCCGAATGGCCCAAGAGAGATATCTTCAAGGGTGCGATTTGCGGTTCGGTGTCTACGGATAGACTCGCGTACACCGACGTATCGCTGTCATCATGTGGCAGTTTGAATGGGTCCAGCAGAGAGCCGTGCGGATTCGGGTATTGAATATGCTGTAACGGTGGATATTTCACGTTCGGCTGGATCGATAGATTTGGATCTAAGCCCAGATTCGGAAAATGATGATGCGACGTGACCTGCGGTAGTTCAGGCAGCTGGTAAACGCCGTCTTGAGCAGCAGGATTATTCTGTTCGTAGTTATGCGTCGGATTGTAGTTCGTGGGATAACGTTCCGGAACACCGTAGGTCGGAACTGGATGCTGAGTGGGAGGATAAGAGTCTACGTTGTTGTTGGTGAGGCTGCCCTGGCCAGCTACGGTTTGATCCTTTGAACCAACGCTACCTTTCGGCACACTGTTCAAGAGATTCTTGATAACGGAGCTCTTAGTCGGGTCCGGATTCTCTAATACCACCACGTGCGTTTGTTGATCGCTGTGCTTGTCCGGGTCAGATTTCGTCGGTGTCACGATCAGCAGGCCGCCCTGGCCGTTGTCTGTGAACGTGACGTCTGTCAGTCTTGTCGACAAATTTATTCGGTGCTTTATAAGAGTGTTAAGTATAAGTTCGTTAGTCAAGTTGGAGCATAAAAGTTGGTACTGTCGAGATTAGTATGTTGCGTTTGTGCCAAGGGTATTACAACGTGTCCGTCGAGCAAGTGCCAAGCGTGAAACAACATGAACAATCCAGTTCTAGATTTGCATATTCAATACACGAATGGTACACTTACGCATATTTGCAGGGACTTATCACAGGATTTGTCACAATACGGTATAGTGCGCTTGTATTACGCTAAATTCTAGTGAATTTTGGACGTGGTACACTAAGAAAAATATTCTAGTTATGCCAACAAGAAATATTAGCAAAACGAATTCTGATTTATATATCAATCAGAATTCTAATTATTGAATGTTTGATTATCTCGACTAGAATACATTTAACTATATAAGTGTCTGATTTGTATCTTTCTGATTAAATTTATCAGAATTTCAATTACGTAACAAGACTCTTTTCTAATACATGTAAAACCATCTATTTACTTTTTGTGTGATTAATTGATTATAAAGTAAAAGTATCCCAAATGTCTGATATAATTACCGTATTACGTATATTGCTTTGTCAAGTAATATACTTTCGCTGATAATTTCGACATATTTATGTTTATATCAGCGTTGTTACGAAAACACAACATATATAATACATACAAAAATTAAGGGGGCATATACACCTAGAGGTGGTGAAAAAATCAATTTCTTTTATATATTTTTAAAGTATAATGTCTTAAAAACGTTTTTGTAGAGTTATAAATCAATCCGGCAAAAAATAGAGGAGTTACACGAAATTATATAGACGAATAGGTTAGTCAACATTCAACGTTCGAGGGCGTTGAAGACGACAGGTAGGCGCGCCTGCG